TATTTCTTTTTTTCATTTCGGTACAACTGTGATTTCTTTCATACCAACTCAAGACAAACCTGGCTGTATGCTCTGTTTTGAATTTTTTTTAACTTATTATCAAGCCTACTTATGACGGGTCCCAAAGAGTACAAGCATAAGTTCTAAAAGTGGTATAATACAGGTGAGGTAAAAGCCCCATTCCTAAGCTGATAATCTGCACATCTACAATTCCTTTGAATATAGTTCAATGCAACCGCAGCCTTAGCAACAACATGATTCACATGCGCATTCCAGGAGCAATCGTGCGACAATAATACACCCAAATATTTGTACCTACATTATCTATCTGAAATGTTTCTTCTTAAATAATAGTTAGATATAATTATTTTCTTCTTTGAAAAACACACAAGGACTCACTTGTTAGCGTTTAAATTCATTTGCCACTTAAGACACCACTGATGGATACGCTCAAGTTCAGCCTGTAATTCATTGACGTCCTGTTCATTTTGAATTTTTCTGTAAATAACGCAATCATCTGCAAATAGCCAATACTGGAGCCTATGCATACAATAATGTCATTAATAAAAATAATAAATAACGGAGGCCCCAACACGGAACCCTGGGGGACACCTGATGTGACCCCCAGAAAATTCAATTTAGTGCCATTTAAAACAACACAATGGCGGCGTTGAAACAAGTAATTTTCAATTTAATTCAGAATGTTTTGCTTATATTTAGCGCTCGTAATTTTTCAAGAAGCAGAGAATGGGAAACGGTGTCAAAGGCATTGCTGTAATTGAGATATATGCAGTCTGTTTGCCCACCCAAGTCAATTGCTGAGGCTAGGTCGTTAAAAAAATCAAGAAGCTGCTCTCGTACATGAAAAGCCTTTACGAAAACCGTGTTCTTTGTTAATAAATCGTGATCTAATAAATACATCATTATAGCCTTGTATATTACTTGTTCAATAATCTTGCAGGATATTGATGTAGGTGAAATAAGCCTATAATTCGTGACATCTTTCTTGGAACTTCCTTTGCGAATTGGGAGTACATTTGCTACTTTCCAATCTTGTGGCAACCGAGAAGTACATAACGATTTTTTCAAAAATAAATAAAGGTAAATGGAAATTGGATGAGCACACTGTTGTCAGTTCATCATCTGCGTTTCTTGAATTGACCAGCGTATCAAAATGAAGATGATAGTTAGTGCGTTTACCGCATGTAGTCTTCAATCGATCGAGCTGGACGACTACGATTATGCTGTCTGTCAAAAGCATTAGAAAATTCTTTACCAGTCTTGAAGAAATTACATCTGACATATTAACGAAGTAAAACCACGTCCGGTATAATCAGCGGTTTCCTTTTGTGCGATTATATTCCGTTCAGCATCAGAATATGCACAACTGAGACAACTTGCGCAGCACGAGAGTTAATAGCATGCATTATCACAAAATTGTTGCTTTGTTCATACCCAGAGATCATATTATGGTTTCCTTATTATCCCTCACCTTACCTTTCATCACTGGTTCACGTAGCCGCTCCCGCACTGTCAAATCGATTGGCTACTCGGCGGAGTGGACATAAGGAAATAATAAATTTGATAAAAAGATCCTTGCATGTATAATACAGGCTTCTGAACTCCAAGGTATTGATATGACGATGTTATAAACATGCTCCAATCTCAAATTAATTTTACCCTCTCTGTGGAAGTTTAGACCGTAGGCGTGCGCACAGGGGAAGGGGGGCTTATTCACCTGAGAGGGTTGACGCAGTAGTTGGCCCATACATCGACTTAGTACGAGGGGGGAGGTCCCAACAAACTCCCTTCCCCCCTCCAAAATGGAGAACCCTGCGGCACGCCTATGGTTATGACAATTTCAGCGGACAAACACCGCAGTTTAAATATACGATGAGCGCAGACAAAAAGAGTGTCCTTAAAGCATAACCCGGGCCCCGGCGTACTACTCTGGAAACTCTAATTCAGCCATGTTGTCCAACGCGCCAATTTGACAGTTCTGATTGGCCCGGGCTACGGCCTCTTTGATAGACCTAAATTGCTGTCATTACAGTATTTGTCAATGCGATAGAATCTCGGTGTTCATAATAGTACCGCCGATGAAATATTGATTAGACGTGAATAAAAGTGTTGGCTTCACCGGCCTCACACAAGGTGGAGGCATGGACTGATGCAATTGTGTCACTCAGCTGCAACTTTAGAAGAAAAGTTACACCATCTCCCACTAAAGAACAAAGGCGTGGTAATGCGAAGCAGCGCATGTGTTCATTTGTGTTTCGATTTATTGCTTACATTTGTATGTGTTCGTGTATGTTTCATTTGTGTGCGGAGTTGTGCATATGTTGCGTACCACTTATGTTACCCCCACACATTTATGTGTATTACCGCGTGTGTGCCGCAAAGCGAACGCTCAGCGCTTTCAAGAGAGAGCAACGGTGCGAGCGAGCGCAACATTATATACGAGTGCACAGCTGTGGCGGAGAAAGAAACGGGAGCGGAGAAACCACGCGCAAAGAGAGGGCCCTCGGTAACCGTCCTCCCCCTCCCCACTGCCTATGTGCCAACTCACCCCCTCTCGTCAGCTGAGCGCGAGAGAGTCCTCGCACCTCCTCGCGCTCACGCGATGAGAGGGAGGAGAGTTGGTGCATGCTCTGTAAGGTGGCCACGTCTTGCTATGACAGGAATTTATTGCGGATTGAGCTCCGCAATAAATTGCTTCACATACAAAAAAGGCTGAACGCTGAGTAAAATGTCAGCCCTGGAAGCAACATTGATGCGAAATACTACTCAACCAAAAGAATTTTTTTTAATAAGCGCACGTACACCTCCGGTCTGCTCTTTAAAGGAGCACTGACATAAAATTTACTCATGTCAAGATTTTTGCGTCAACGAGTAGTTATCGACCTCCTAGTAGCGATTCGCGACCTAAAGCGCACCTGAGTGACGAGTAATATTGTATAATATATCCGCTATCGAACGTACTTCAAAATGGGTGAAAAGCCCGCCAAATTTTAGTGCTTTTTAGTGCTGGCAGCGCTGCCTCGCGGTCATCTTGAGGCCGCTGCAGCGCTGATACCGCTTTCACGAAAAATAGTGACGTCACCCTGGCGTTTCATCTTCTAGGAGCGCACGTACAGTCCAGCTGTGCTTGTGAAGACGTAGACGTGCTTTTCATTTCATTTTTATTTCCTTAAAGACCTCCGAGAGGGTATTACGTAAGGGGTGGGTAACATAGAATCGATAGTTTTGTCACGATGATCAATGTGAAGTTACATTTGAAATATGCATGAAGCTTGATAGAGAGGTGATTGTGGTGATATCGTGGGAAAGGCCATTCCAGTCTTTTGCTGTCGCCACTGTCACCAACATCGTCGTCCTCGCCGTCAACATCGGCAAGTGATTGTGACAACGATGTCTCGCCGCGATTGGCGACGATCCTTCCTTAACAAGCTCCGCGTTAAATGCAATGTATTTATCAGTCCCAGACCTATTGTCGGAGCTCAGGAACAGCAACCGCGCACCTCGACAGCTTCGCTCACCATTTGGCGAGCGAATCGCTGCTTTCTGCTGCAGCAGGGCACATGGTAGGAATAGCCCTGGCCTCGAGAAGAGGCCTCGTAGTGCTAGTGAAACTAAACTGGTTCGCCAACACAGGATTTACCCTGTAGCAGCTCGCCGCAAAGTGAAGGGAGCAAATACGGCTGTTCTTCACAGACCTCCAGTACCTCTGTCTAACGGCGCGTACAAAGTCAACCCACTGGCTGCGTTGAGGTTCGTGGCTTCTAAAGCCATGAAACGTCACGCACTTTCTGCTTTTTCCGCGCCTCGATGTGCAGGTTCTCAATGCGCAGTGGTTCCCCGACATTCTGGCACGTATTGTAGCTCTGAATGATCGTACTCACACGCAGTGAAGCACAACGCAAATCAGTCGATGCGACACAATGAATCGCACGCACGCTTCAACACAGCAAAGAGAGCCAGAGCATGGCTAGGAGTCGGCTTCAAACGAACTCAGAGATCATCGACGTCATCGTTACTAGAGTATCGTCAACCAGGATGGTATTTAAGGAATGTATCACACCGAACACATAACTAGCGTCGATGTCGCAAGGCGGTCTATTTTTTGTTTTTTCCCCCTTAGCTTTTCTACGCTGTTTGACGTCTAAATAAAATAATTTCAACTCGACGGACGCCATTCAAATTTGGTCAAGAAGACCTATGCATACCAAGTGATCGAATGATGGGCACATTTTGGTCATAAAATTTGATGTCAGTGCTCTTTTAATGTGTTTCAATTCAAAGCTCCTTTTACTGAATCTTTCTGCATAGAAGCAGCGGAAGTATCGTCTGACTAGTGAACTTGTCCAGTGTGATTTTGTTTTAAATATCTTGTATTTAGACCACTGTAGACTCGCAGTTATCCTATATCACATGAATATTGCGTCGCAGCAAAAGGCATAAGTCTCGCGTCATGTTCTTGCACACGCAGAAAAACATATTGGTAGTCGCACGATATGCTGCGTGCCACCATGCCATCGGGTAACGAAAGCATTGTGTCTTTTCCAATATCTGAGCAGAGCGCGAAAGAATTTCGCACTGGTTTTGTGCTTCATGAGGTTATGTGATTCATGAGATGACACTATCGCGACGACTTCTCCCCGTATACTTGTTATCGTCCGTTTAAAAACTGATATTTCCGGGTATACACGTTTACGAGCGAAGACGTAACTACATATTTATACTGATTGCAAAACACGTACACGTTATTAGGCTGATTCGTATACTATTCGCCAAGGTCGCCGAGCGCGTGCTGGCGCTTCGTCAGCGTCATCGACAAAAACAGTGTGTTCATGACAAAAGCGCACTCTTGCAGCTTCGTCATGATGAGCCTACTGGCGCATGCGGCACTATAAAGGCTTTAGCAGAATTGGTTCTGCAGGACATGCAAAACACCTCGACCAATTCGTTCAGCAGGAGCGGGGCGCCGTGCAGGGGTATACCTGTGTGCACTCTGAGGTGGCCCACGAGCTCTCCGCTGTTGAGAAAGGGGATGCCACAGTAGGCGCACTGGAGGTGCTTGACCGGACGGAACGCCGACTTGGGCGACGGAGCCAAGCCCGTGGTCGGACTGCAGCAAGTGTCAGGTGGCCGCGGCGCCTCCTCCTCCACGCTGCCTCTGTGGGGACGCGGATCCACGTGGCCGTGCAGGTCAACGGCTGACGCGAAGGGCCTCCAGAAGACCACGTCCTCCGCGGAGGCGCACTGCCCGAGGACAGTGGAGCCGTGCGTGGGGCCCCCTCCTTCCATGGACAGTACGCACCGTCCCATCGACGCCGAGTGATGTGCCGCGAGCGGCAACCCCTTCCCAGAATATGCTTTATAAAGGCTTATTTTGAGGTGAGCTGCCAAGCCCACAAGCACCGATAGAGTTTCTCTCTCTCTTTTAACGAGCGCTTCCAGACTCGATAAGAGAACAATCAGAGAGACGCTGGCTATCTCGCAGCTCGAGTGGCATACCCGCGTAAAACAAGAGGCCTCGCTGTCGCTCCTCCGCTGACAGCTGCAGGTGTTTTCTCTATTGTCCCTTCAGTGGCGCTCGTATCGGCATCGAACTGATTGACAGGTCGTGGTCACAAAAGGAATGATATTGCCTGTCAAATGTCGACCGCTTCCTGGTGGCATGCCTGAGGAAAATTATCGCCGTGGCCATGGACGCACACCTTCCACGTGTATGCGTATAGAATTTTCCCGAAATGGTTCATTTCGCCAACTGGCTGCGCGTATGCGGCGTGGTTGGTGAGCTGTGGTTTCAAGAAATGTTACCAGGTACCACGGAATCAGTTGGCGTGTGTTGACGGCGCGGAAAGTGCCAGCACTGTTTACTGTCGAGACGAGTTTTTGAGTCGCTACGGGCTAAATCCACGACAATAGCAAGATGAGCTTGTTACGCAGCGTAATAAATGTACACACCGTAAATATTAGGGATGTCGAAACAGCCGCGACGAACAACCACCAGTGTGTTTCTTATTTTTCGTCGAATTCTCAGCGGCAATGCGCTACATTTAGCGACCAATCGACATGCGGTGTCCTTGAGGTTCGTGAAAGGCTCGCGGCCGCGCGTAACTCTTTAAAAAAAAGCCGCAGAACTGAAGAATATACTGAGAACAACCATCAGAAGCGCACAATAGAGGTATGTTGTCATATAGTGTACTGGTCCCGATACCAGGCTTCGCGGAGACGTCAAAAAGTATTTCATGCCGACCTTTCTCGGCAAGATTTCACCAAGCAGTTTTCTTATCCGCTTTCAAAAATCTGCATGTGCCCAACTTGCTGCATATACCATATACGCACATACTTGGAAGAGCACTAATCACATCTGTTGACTGTGCGTTTATGGCTGGGTTCACATGGTACCTGCAAAGAGTAATGCTCTACCACACTTACCCATGTTCTTACCCCCTATGGGTTGAACCAGTTCTGGTTTTGCCGTATGTACGCTCCAAGTCTTCAGAAACAAACTAGCACGTAAGAAAATATTGCTCTATATTACGTCTCTGTATTCAGTCTCCTAAAGTAGTCCTTCAAAATTGTGAGGCACGAAAGATCTCACTTTTCCAACGTCTTCTTTGGCTTTGGAGCACTGAAGACAAAGCCCAGCACACGGAGACAAGTGGGGTGAGCTCTGATATGTTGATGAAATGTCAGTGGAGCGCGTGAAAGTGAGAGAAATCTCTAGTGAGATCAATCAACTTTTAGTAGTCACGTCAAAAAGGTGATACGTTGCAGGTACGTTAATATACAAGAGAAGGTGCGAACGTTACAAACCACAGGCGTGACTAAGAGTTGCCTTTCTAATAAAAAAAAGTCACTTGATTGGCAACAGGGAAAGTCGCTGGCCTTATTTCTCACGATCGAGCTTTGTGTTCAGTATGCATCAAACTCTCATGGAAAGCGCGTTCACACAGAATATGAATACCGTGAGTCGTGATAGTATGCAAGAAGTTTTGTATTAGCGATAACAGCGTATACGAACGGATTGATTGATTGATTTGTGGGGTTTAACGTCCCAAAACCACCATATGATTATGAGAGACGCCGTAGTGGAGGGCTCCGGAAATTTTGACCACCTGGGGTTCTTTAACGTGCACCCAAATCTGAGTACGCGGGCCTACAACATTTCCGCCTCCATCGGAAATGCAGCCGCCACAGGTATACGAACGGTCAAAGGTACAAGGAAGTGCCTTCTTATGTACTGTGTTCGTCGAACACATATGCAATAGTTGCTCTCGTGTTTTCCTTTCACATGCGTGCATGCCCTTCGAACATTTCCGATGATGGACGCATGTGTTTATCAACCCAAATATGAGCATTACAGATTATTCCTTCCATCAGAATGAAAAAAATAAACATGCACGCGCGGGTATTCGCCATCCTTCTACATTCATTCATACGCGAAATAAAATACAGTCAGGCATAAGACAAAGGCCAGCAAAGGAAACAGTAACAAAACACATCTTTACGACAATGACAAAAAAAAATTGTTCAGAACCTACGTACTGCGTACAACGATCGAAATGCAGCTTTCGCGTGAGCTTCTCAGACTTGATACGGACAGGAAGTGATAAAAATTGCGAAGCTCTGCTATCGTACAACGCGTCCTTTCCTTCTTATCTGCAAGGTCTGCCAGCTAAGCCATGAAGTGTAGAAGAGTTTCGTTTGCGCGTGCTATTTATATCGCCACACAAACGCAACTCAGAAAAAAGGGTTTAATTGTTCGCCTTTAACGCTGTTACCTTCTTCCGAAGATAATGTGCCGCTGAATAAAGAGTGAGCATTTTTGTAGATTAGCAGAGACGTGCCCGACGTGCGTGCTGCTCGATACAAAAAAAGGAACGTGAATTGTGTATTAAACAGTACCAGCGAATTGCATGTATGATTTGGGACGTCAGCTGTGCTAACGTGGCCACGACTGTCGTTCTGGAGCGCTTACAATAAAAGAACAATTAACACGCATTTGTGTGCAAGAAGATTTGACAAACGGCGATCACACCACCGTTATGTCGAAAGCAACGCCTTCGATAGTCAGAAGTGAGGGTTGGGAAGTCACTAGACACCCTGCGTCTAGTGACGTCATGAATCGATTATATTGATATGTGTGGTTTAACGTCCCAAAACCACCATATGATTATGAGAGACGCTGTAGTGGAGAGCTCCAGAAATTTTGACCACCTGGTGCACCAAAATCTGAGCACATGGGCCTACAACATTTCCGCCTTTATCGAAAATGCAGCCGCCGCAGCCGGGATTCGATCCCGCGACCTGTGGGTCAGCAGCCGAGTACCTTAGCCACTAGACCACCGCGGCGGGGCGTGAATTTATGCTACTAGTGACAGCACAGGGTCCAATCTAAGACAGCCTGAAAGAGCTCCTAAACCAACTCCTATATATTTTTTTCAAACATTTCAAATTAACACAAGCATCGTGTGCACAATGCCGTCGCAATCAGCGATTCTACACGTATACCAGCGCCACGAGCCACCGGCGTGCCACAACTTCCAAGAAACAATCCTGCCCTCCTCCTCTACAGGTATTTCAGGCCTCCGCGTGACGCGCAGTTCCAACGTCTCTGACGCACAGTACAAATATGCTGTGATTGGTCGAGCAAAAGCCCATGACTTCCGGTGAGTCTGCAAGCAGCTGTCCGTGCTGCTTTTTACCGTTCGTCGTGTTGGCCACGTGCGTGCGCCCGCTCACGAATCTGCGACCCGTAACGCAACTGCGCGAACTGAATCTGAGTGATTTGCTATGAATTTTATTCGTATATGTGCTGCAGCCTGGTTCGCGAAAAAGAACGGAGTTTACGGAGTCGACGGAGGGAAGTAGTCGCGGCAACCGGAAGTAGACGTTGTTCCGAGCTGTGCGTCAGCGATGACGTATGCCATGGGACATCGGGAGGGTCGCTCGGTGGGGTGCCAAAGCGGCTTTGAGAGATTTGATTGATTGATTGATTGATATGTGGGGTTTTACGTCCCAAAATCACCATATGATTATGAGAGATGCCGTAGTGGAGGGCTCCGGAAATTTCGACCACCTGGAGTTCTTTAACGTGCACCCAAATCTGAGCACACGGGCCTACAACATTTTCGCCTCCACCGGAAATGCAGTCGCCGCAGCCGGGATTTGATCCCGCGACCTGCGGGTCAGCAGCCGAGTACCTTAGCCACTAGACCACCGCGGCGGAGCAGCGGCTTTGAGAGAGGATATTACGGAGGTTAGCGAAGGAAAGAGGGAAAGGGGTGATCAACGTGGTTAGGATAATAAAACGCGTCTAGCTCCATTATTACGTCCCCGTTTCGAAAAATAGACCTCTACCGGGGTACGTCACAGCGTGACGTCACCGGTGCATGTGCGAGGCGGTGGTTGGCAAAACACTCCCACCGGTGCCTGAGTGGGGTGCAGTCGCTCGGTGCTTGGGGCAATTTTTTTTCTTTTTGAAAGCGTAATATTCATCGAACAGTGGCAACATTAGCTGTGGCATGTGTCAGAGAACATCTAGGTGTGTGATAAAGTGCGTGATGAAATGTTCGCCATGCTGGCAGGCTGGCTGTTTATCTACGAGAAGTGAACACACGTGGTGGCCTGTGCGAGGAACAGCGGCATCGTCTTTGAAAATGTGCAGTGTTGACGGTGGCGTGTAGTGTGCGTTAAAAGGCATCAACAATATTGGTTCATCTTTACAGACGGTGAAATTGGGAATATTGTGCATCGTGTGTTGTGTGAATAATGAGATGCGTCCTGTTTGCGAAAACACTGGTATTTGTGGGCCGGTTTCAGTAACAGACTTTCGATGGAACTTTACGATCTGACATTTTAGTCAAGGTAAAAATGCATTTGACGCGATTATCTGCGAGTGGGTACATCTCAACGTATGCGCGGTTTGCAGAAAAATAAAAGTGCATGATCTCCTGGTGATATATACCACTACGCATGAGCTATAAGCATGTTGTAGCATTGTCGAATCTGCATATATGCTTCACCACGGCTATAACTCGTAATATCGGATACCTGATACGTGTTAATAGAAACAGCGGAGATTTTGGTTTCTCATCTACTTTGTACTTTTACGACTCGATCCTTATGAAGTGAAAATACGCGTTATAAGTTTGTGTATCAGGCCTAAAGGAATGATAGGTACGAAAACGCGTTATAGGTGTCAAATGCAGCAAAGTAACTGTGCCAGATATTAATATGTCGGGTTTTACATCACATGAATTTTTACTGGGTTATTGAGAAACGCAGCGGCAGAACTTCATTTTGATTTTCACGAGGATATGTTAACCTCAGCCTAACCCACGGAAAAAAGTGTTTTTTTTTTTTCATTCATCTCCGATGAGACTTTTGGGCAAT